ACAAACAAAACATCGCCAACCAAGTCAGTTCATTTCCTTCCAGTGAGAACTCCTATAGCACTTGTAAGCGTTTATCAGCAATACTATCACAGTTCTTCTCATAAGTTGTTCTCAGAATATTTTTCACAAGTCTTCATCACTTACGAGTATATGATGTCGTGCGTGAGAGCTGCGCCGGTCGCGCTCTGCTTACCGACGGAGCTGTGTACAGTTAGTGACGCTCGTGGCCCGTCCACTAATGGAGCTGCACTTATCGTGTTAGATTCGGTGTTAGATACTTCGCACTTGCTTCCCAAAAATTAGGGTTGTCATAAAACACAAAGGATTCCTTCGCATATCTTGAAGAAACCTTTAAAGATTCAAAACAAAATCCGTCATTAAATAAATTAATGTCGTGATTGAAATAGTAATAGTCGTTCTTGGAATGTTTTAACGTCTCAAAATCGTTATTCGTCTCCAATAAATATTATGAAAGACAACCCTAATACGCTGTGTCGATGCTCGGCTCACAAGCATGTCAAATGAGGCAACGGGTGCAGCACGCAGCTGGCATGTCTGGTGGTGTGTGGTGGGCTTTGACCCCGATGTTCTGCTTCATTGGGCTCACAGTATTCTCACAGGGTTTTGACCATGTTGGTGACCATTTTTCCCAACAGTTCACTTCAAAAACCGCCATGACACAGAAAAGATCGTTGAGATCCGTAGCTGTTGTTTAACGTTGGCTATGATCACACTCTCACAGATTAAAAACTAGTTCGCACTAGTAAGGTATCAGCGGTGTTTATGTTAGTGTTGATGAATTAGTGCCGTGGAGTAGCGTGCCCGCCCGTGTGTACAATATATAATGTTCGTCAGCGCGCGCTTCATTAATTTCGGCTCACATACGCGCGCAGATAAATTGGGTCGGCAGAGCAATGCTCCACTTACGTCTAATTAAAGCCCGACCTCATCGAAACAAAATCGCTGCAATTCTATCATCTCTCTATTCATTAACGGTACGTTAGTTGTTAGATTATTGGATAGTCCAGCATTTCCTACCTCATTTGTGGTTTGAGCGCTGTTACTACTCTATTATACTCGTACATATATTGAGACGTCCTATTTGCGTCTTCAGTCTATTTCATTTCTATCGACTCGTTTTTTTTATAAATCTTTATCATTAAAGGCAGTCGCAGACTGTCTGATAGTTGGTAGATGCATCACTGTGACTTCAGCAGTCACCGGTCCAGAGCTGGCACGTGTTAGCGGGAGCTGCGTCAGAAGCGATGGATATCCTTGCATCATGCTATTTGCCACTTCATAAGGAAGTACACAGGGAGGGTTGTTCATTGTGTCCACATAGAACAAGATAACTGAACATTCGAATTCAAATATATTGTCATGTCTTGCGTAACGTTGATAAAGGTCAACAAATCCCTTCTAAGACACTGTCAGATTTGATATTCAATTAGCAATATTATTTGTAATATTTTAATAAAATGAAAAAAAAAATTAGAACAGTTTCGGTTGCCTTTGGCGAACTAGGACTAGAGAATATACCTACATATAGATTGAAGTATTTTATCTCCTGGTTGTCCGAGACTTAGAAAAATATACGTAGTAACTGAAATCGTACATCGCTATGCAAGTCCACAGGTAGGATCAACACAATCTTTATTTCATACATTTTTTTAAATTGTTTACAATCGTCTTTTATGAACGATCATTCAGAAATACAGAAATAGCTATATTGTGTTTATGTTACTAGAACCGTGAACATAACTTTTGCTAAGACAGCTACAGTGTTGTAGCCAAGTGTCTGCTCTGTGTAAATATGTTACGTTTACCTGTTAAAACTACAGAGGGTGTGTAAGATGACATTAAATCCTTGTGAACCGAAAAAAGGTTCTTATTTTTGAAAAAGTACAGCATATCATAATGTTACCGAGCAACTCCTGTAATTAATCTTCAATAGAATGACATTACCTTAAATTAACAATTTCCTAAAGTTTTGTCAAGCATTAGATCGTCATCATTCAGACTCCAGATCTCGCACAAATTACCAATTAGACCAAACAATGGTCAACTTAGGTATCAAGACTTGTGTAATTTGTGCAGATAAATAAAATTATATTATTAATACTAGCTGACCTGGCAAACGTTGTTTTACCATATACATTATTTCAAATCTTTTTGTAAAAAAAAATTGGTGTATGAAAAATAGATGTTGGCCGATTCTCAGACCTACCCGATATGCACACAAAATTTCACGAAAATCAGTCGAGCCGTTTCGGAGGAGTTCAACCACGCACACCGTGACACGAGAATTTTATATATTAGATTCATCAGGGTAGCATGTTTAAGCTAACAAGGAAACTGTTTCATTTAGTTTCATTTAGTTGACAAAATACGAGCAAAATTAAGGTACATGTGTTACATTTTCAATAATGCTCGAATACACATACCTTGGTCCTATGTGGTACACACGTTGCACGTTGTATTCTTCTGCATTCTGCTTCAAATCGATCCTACCTCTGTCCCGTCGTTTGTTCATTGGCGTAGGACGTGTCTTTCCGTCCCTCTACTGGTCATTACCGCCCTGGTGCTTCTTGTTTCTTCAGTCAGCTGCCCTTGCTTGTTTTCGTGAACTGTGACGGTAGCATGTAACATGATTATGTAACAAAACTTGACAAAATGTAACAACTTAACAAAACATGTAGTTAAGTGTTTATTACAGCTCTTTTTTGTAAGTTGCTCTGCGCTACTGAATTTAACTTCGGATTCTAATGCGCCTGACATAACAGGTTTGTATACCCATGGAAGTCTTAATTAACCTATACGCTATTTGAATATCTGGGTGATCATAGTAAGGTGCAGAAGAGACTTTAAAAACTTGGCTGATTCCAATGTATTTAATAAATTAAGACTAAGTTATTTTTTAGCAACATCGATTAGCGCTACGGTGCTGTTATTTTACGGAGGCGTTTAATATTGAATGGCCTTTCTGTAAAATGCACAGCTTTTATTTAGTGGTATTTCTTGCCTATTGTCAACATTACATCAAGGTGATCGTTGTCGTTGTTGTCGTTTAAGTTCATAACCAGCTGTCAACACAAATCATTCAGACTTTGTCGTATTGAAATACTTATTGTCTACAACCATGTTCAACTACGACTACAACCGTGTACCATTTGTCCAATGATATGTTGCGGGTCACGTGGGTTACCAATAACAATCCGTAGTCTATTAAAGAATTAAGAACAAGATTATTTTACGTACCGTATACTGTGTACATATGTTGCGAATGCGAGAGTAGATTAGCAATTTTTGGTAGTTAAGCCGCGTTAGTAGAGGCACTTTCGAATATATTGGCCGTGACATATTGAAATACGTGCGGCCAGACACAGACCAACTTAAAATTGTTATTATAGGGACTGTATGCAACAAAATTCTGGTTGATATTTAATATTGCATCAAGTGGAGATTGTACACAACTTTTTCCAGGAAGCCAGATAAGAGAAACAAAACGATTTTCTTTAACGTAGCAAGACTTGCAAAACACTTCAAAGGCAATGAAAGAATTCTGTATGATGACGGATTAAGAGTGCAGAGTGTCACCATCCCTTATCATCCGCCATCGCAGTGGTGACAGGCGGGACTCAGTTCCTTCCTAGCGACCGAGTGCAGGTACTTCCCGAAGCAGCCGTGCCCGGAAAGGACCTGCGTCATCCGGAAGGAAAGGGTCCCGTGCTGTCGCCCTGCCCACTCGACGATGACCGGCTGGAGCGCCTCCACGGCGGCAAAACCAGAACGTGGAGCCTCCAGCCGGGATGACCAATGAGCCATCGTGGCTCGGCGAGCGGCCTCACGCCACTCGCGTATTTTTTCGGGCGGTGGCCGAAAGCCGCTAACCGCCCGGAACTCAGCCGTCCGCCGATATACTTCGGCAAGCACTTCCGCCTCCAAATCCCATGGGGGTGTTCCGGCCAACGCGCACATCGCCTCCGTCGATACAGTGCGGTAACCGCGTATGGCTCTAACCGCCAATATCCTCTGAGGTCGCCAGAAAACTTGAAACAAACCCTATACCAAACCCTCTGGCCAGCGTGGTATAGTAGGCCAAAACCTCCTTTTTAAGGAGAGGCTTAAGTACAGCACTAGACTCCTAAGAGCTGTTGATGATGACGAATGAAAGACGAGTCTTCAAAACTCCTAACACTGAGTGTACAGTAGCAATATGTCCTACAGTGACAATGCTTTAGTTACTTTTAAATTTCATTATTTCTTTTCTTGTGTCCATCTTCACTCAAATGTATGGCTTGTGCAACAAAAACGTCAAATTTGCTTACATATTGCTCGAATACTGATTAAAGTTTTCTTTATGCACAATAAAAGTATAATAGGTACTATTATTTAGTCAAATCCAGGACCTAACCTGAAGTTGATATTTAGAACAACAGAGCCAGTGAGATCAGTATAAATGAACAAGTTACAAATAGACAACACTCGTGAGCAGCACGGGGCGCTCCGTAACGCCGAACAGTGTCAAGATTGCAGCGCGCGACATGCTGGTGCGCACCGCCCACCGCCCGACGACCTTGTCGCGTAGTTTTTATGCAAGTGGCGTGCTACGCATCGCACTGCGAATGCCAACCCGAGTATTGTGTGCACCGAGGATCGTTTGCAACTTCAAAACTCTGGCGCTCAAATAAGTATTTCTTTAGGTGCATAGGTGCATGAACACGTGTAGTCTGTATACAGTGTAAGCTTCACAGTGTCTGTCAATGCTTCGGCAAGCTTTTCTTCAATAGGATCATTTTTGTCCATCAATTTTATTATTCAGACGTTCTCCAATCATTATGCAGGGTCAGGTATGAGTTAGAAATGACCGGCATACGAACTATCAGTTCCGGTATCATCGACCGTTGATATTTCTGTTTATTGTAATCAAAACGTTTTAATATAACAATGTATGCGTAAGTACCAGTGTACGTGTGTCGGTGGACCGTCGTCGGTCAGGTATGTTAGGGACCGGGACAGATTACCGCTATCGAGTAACGACAAAAAGCAATGGTAATCATTACCTAACGGTATCGACTTTCGCTCCGAGGCCGAGACAACTGTGCAGTGCGGAACTAGCGGCGGTGCTCGCGGACTACGCCGGCCGATGGATGGATTGGATGGAGGAGCCGGCGCTGCGGATGCGCCGCAGTGCAGGCGGGGCGCGGGCGGGAGTACGGGGCGCGGGGCGGGGGCGGTCAAGGCCGCCAGGCGCACGCGGCGGGCAGGCGACGCCGCCGGCCGAGGCTCAGTTGTGCCCGCGATCTCCCGGTGTTCGGCCGTGTCTGTGACTAAGTAGTGACAGTGTAGTGTGCAGTACAGTTAGCGCGCAACAGCAGGTCGTCGACCGCGCGAGTATGAGCGCGCGCCCGTCTCGGCACCCGCCGCACTCCCGCACTCTTCTGTGACGCTCGACGACAAGGTGAGCTCCCGAGCGAGCGCTTCCCGTCCCCGACCCTTCGAACGGCGCTCCCCATGGTAACCGACCACATACCTGCTTCCACGCACTTTACATATTAATCAAACCTTTACTAGTCTCAGAAAGTTATCCACACGACCGTCACGGCTGTGCGAAGGTTAGCTCCCAATTGACAGCAGTAAAGAGATTGACATCGTCTAAGGTCTCTGATTGTGTTGGCAGAACAATCTAATTACCTTCACACGCTGCACAATGCGGTCGCACTCGGTTTGTTGTCTCATTGTAGTCATCTTTCATCTAAACACCAGTTTTTCCACAGTCCAACTGTAGAGGTTGGTCTACAGAACACTAGCGAGTCTATTAATCTACCTTAACATCAAGTCTGTGCTTCATTAGTAATTGGAGACGCAAGGTGTAGGTACTCTCCTATCACTTTAGAACATAGGTCCCAATAGTTGAGCGATTTGACGTCAGTAGCCTTCTTTTTGCTGCTTGTTATAACGGGTAACTCAAAACGCTGCAAAACAAATATTGGTTAATTATTAAGTTCCTTGAGTGCGATCGTTTCAAGCGCAACGATTTCTTGTAACCGTGCGTTGGTCGGCTCAATGTCGCCTGCTGAACAATACGCAATTTATCTTTTATAGCCACTGCCCGCGTTAGGCCGTAAGGGTAAACTTAGACGGCAATAAGCTCTAGTGAGTCACTGTGGTGGAATATCTTGAATCTTTTGTGAATGTAAACCCACTTTGTCAAGCTTCTGGGTAACGTCGTAGCTACTGAGAAGTTGTTATGTGAACCTACTTTGTTATTCTCCACTGAGTCGTCAATATGATCACAACCTGTTTCCCTGTAACCTTACTTTCAAAAGGCTATTATTCTTTTTCGTTTGTTGATTTTGGTTGATTGTGAAGTGATTTATGTTGCTGTAAGTTGTTAACTTCTGTTTGGCTATCGGGTAGCTTCGTTCGCATGAATGTTTTTGCCACTAATACTGGTTTAGGGTGGAAATATTTCTGTTTCTAGATGAAAACCTTTCATCCAATGTCACCGTCCCTGCTAATTGGTTGAGTATTTAAGGCATGTGTATGTAAGAAACAAACAGATAAAATTTACTACCTAACCTACTTTGGTAATGGGCTATCTAGACTATCAAGTCAAATCTGTATATTTTACTAAATGTCAAAAAGATACACACAGTACAGTTTTCTATGAAATACCTACTATGGTGTGGCATCTTACCTATATAGCTACTGTCAAATCATTTAATGAAGATATAACAACAAAAGAAAACATTAGTAGTGATAGTGAGTGGTCATTATACTTAAAAAAAACAATTGTAACACCGTCTATGCTTTGAGGAGCCGGGCAGACTGTCTTAACTGTTTGCTAACGAATTCATTGATTGTGGAAAATCCACACTGCTGGATATTTTCATACAGAGGTTTCTTTTCCTCAGCCTCCCATCTAATGTAACTGTTGTAACTTTAAGTGGCAGCAGGAAATACCTCGCGGCTTTGAAAGGGTAAAATGTCATCAAAATTTAATGAAATCATAATTTATATTTGTATATTTCGTTTTCTACATTAATATTTAGAAAAAATGAATATTTTTGAATTGCATAATTCTTTTAAACGAAAAAATCGTTAACAGAAAGTTATTTTTATTTAGTTACAACACTATGTTTATCTGTTTACATTAGTTTTGCTGTACATTTTATGCTTTAAAATGTCTGAAAATACCCTGATGAACAAATAAAATATATCTATCTATATTTTATACATAAGGTAACTATGAAATTTTGATGCCATGTTACATAGTAATTACACTACGTAGGTACATACTTTACTTAAGCGCACTTAAGTGTATGGTAAATATGTGTTTTTATTGACATTTTATAGATAGATGTTGAGGCCAGAGCGCGGCCGTGCTGTGCCGTGCGGGTTTTGACAACCACTTTCGCTAGGCCTTCTTTAGTAGCTTCACTTCGATCAGAATTACCTTTAAGGAATATATCATAAGGTTAGATGTGACTTAGATGACGTCACTACCTAGTCGTTATCGTATATTGATATCTGTACTTAAATAGGTACTTTATTTCTGTAGTTCTGTGACCGTTTCAGAGAGAGAGAGAGAGAGAGAGAGAGAGAGAGAGAGAGAAACAATGAGAAATGGTTCATTGTTTCTCTCTCTCTCTCTCTCTCTCTCTTCTCTACTTGTGACTTGTAACATTGTGAAAAGCGTATCGCACACCGTGCCCATATAATATCGGGATTTATATCATTATTATATTCAAAGAGCAGCAGTATCGCAATAGGTATTTCGTCAGACTTGCTTTCTATTGGTTATGAGTTCGAATCCCACTCAATACGTGACGTGATCCCAATCACAACACTGCTTAGGTGGAGGGGTTAATAAGAATACTAAACATCCTTTACGAACTAACGATCCTTGACTGTGTAGTACGTAGTGGTTTAAGCGGTCGCCACGTCGCTCAGTACTACGCTAAATGTTGTGGGTTCGATCCCCACATGGGACGACACTTTGTGTGATACACAAATTGTTGTTCTGAGTCTGGGTGTTCTCTGTGTCCGTTTCATGTATGTTTGTAAAGTCCCCCGCGACACAGGACATATATTCCTAATGCGGGAGTTATCTTTTAAAAAAAGAAACAAATAATTCGCCCATCCTGGCGAATATCCAGGTTTATTCTAAATGTGTTGCAGCTGGATTCTGATGTTTCTTTACCAGTTCTCACAAACGCTTCATTGCTGCCTCGTGTGTTCAGTAAAAGACGTGTTTTCACAAAACTTGAATGTCTCCGCTATTGGAAAACCTGTTGGCGCAGTATGAACGACTTGTTCCTCTGCTGTATTTCCTTTATTCAAAAGGAAAATGTAATAAATAATCGAATGACAGTCTTCTACATATTCAATAATGGAAATAATTTCCAGTTTCAAGCGCATTGTCTAACCTGAATACCACATCAACTATATTACAAATAATGAAAGAGCAACGTACTTAAGAACTCACTCAGCACATACGTAGGTATTTTAGTTCCAATAAAGATCGGCAACGCGCATGTGACTCCTGAGTTGCAGGCTTTGATGGGCGGCGGTAGTCGCTTTCCATCAGATGACCCGTCTTTATATCATAAAAAAAGATCTAACATTTAGAACAATTGATTTGCTGACCATAGTATAGTGACAGATAGTTCTAGAGAAAACAAAATAATTGATAATGTGTCAAATGAAAGACAAAATGTCAATGATAGGAAAAATATCAGTTTGCACCAAATATCGAAACAGCCAACGTCCGGGATGTGAGTGTATCTGGCTTGCAGCTATCTTCGTGCCGTTGTCCCGCTGCGCGCGCGCCGGGGACTTGGACGAGGCATTTGAAAGTTGTCATGATGCAACAGATTCACGACTGTTTGGCACATATTTCGCACATCTCCGACTATAACCACAGTCGTATCTACATTTCTAAACCACTACGATACGTCATGACTCACCATTATCACTATTTGTTTAGAACTTTTACACACCACACACCTACAATGCTATCTTAGATTTTGTATTAAATTATTGAAGTTTTTTTTTTAATTTATTAAAGTCATTGAGGAAGTGAACGTCAACTTAATATTTAAATACGACATTGAATATCGCTTCTAAGACTTGAGTATGACTTGCACAGACTACAAGACTAGGTACCTATGTGACTTCTTTGGAATGAGTTTTATTACAAGGCTAGACACCGGCACTATGGTAGTCGTGTACCTTACAGTACGTATGTTAAGTAAACATTCTAAAATATATAATAACACTATCTGTGACCGGGCATGCTTCGCTTTGTCACATTGTGGTTGCATTGATGTGATTGATGAGGGACAAAGCTGACACGAAAAATGGATGAAAACAATCTTTGAAGCGGGTTGCACATCGCGGCAGCGTGTCAAAATGTAAGCTTAAACGGTGCAGATACGGTTTTTGAAACGTACACAAACCAATTTAACATTTTACTTGTAGATGGTTATTTACTTTCAAAATTAGTATTGTTCAAGTGGAATTAGTTTTTGTCAGCAAAAAATATAAACTTACAACATATATTGAGTAAACATTTTAGTTTTCTACTTATACTTGTAGATTAACAGAAGCCCTTACTTTTTAATATTTTTTAACATTATGCCATATGCGTATCTATGCTATTACTACAAGAAACTGAATCCAAGTAAAATTGCGATAGTCACAACACTATGTACTGCGGACTGAAGCGAACCAAAGGTGACAATGTTGAAAGTATTTCAAACGTTTGAGCCATGTTTCACTGACTGACATCACGCGACTGGTTCCAAGCTCAATTTATACGTTAACACTAAACAAGTATCAGTTGCCTTAACATTTCACCCGTGACAGTTACAGGCGCTGTATTGCAATGGTAACGTAACGCTCGTAATATTTGAAGCGCACACCTTTCGTCACACACGGGGGCATTCAATATCGTTTTAGAATTTCAATTTATTATATTTTGAATTAATATTGAAAGCATGATATATTACTTCTTATTAAGTGCGGCGTTTAATAATAAAATAATACAGAATGTGAAAATCCGAACCCTTTTACATTAACGTCTTCCCGTGCTAGAAAAGGCTAAGCAGCAGTCCGCTAGAGTGTGTACTGGTGCTGTTAGTAGGCCTTCTCGACGGTAATTGATTTATTACCGATTATTAAGTACCGATAAATCGATTCAAAACACTTGTTACATAAACATAAGGTAGTGTTTATGATGTACGTGTACAAAATTACATATCGTGGCAATGAAAGCAGCCTGTTCCCGCCAATGTTATTGATTTCCGCCAACGTTTTCAAGACGTATTTAAAGAGAATATAAATTTCATGAGTCTATTACACTTCATGAATGCAATTAACAACCAACTGTAGAGAATATATTATCAATAGTTAATTTATTGGCGCAATTAATTATATCAAGGCTATATAACTACA